ACAAGCATTCCTTGGTGGGTGCTCCCTAACTCTACAAGACCTTCTTAAACCTCCATTATCCTCATGTTCCTCTCATCACTTTTCGTGCTGACACAGTTCAGCCTGAGGCACTTCACAGCAGTTTGCTAATGGCCCATCAATTAGAAACAGGAGAGCTCTCAGCTCCCTCCTTCTCTCCCTTTTCACTTACTGTCGATTGGCATAAATCTGTGCTTTGTTCATCACTTTCCCTTTTCCTTGTTCTTCCCTTGGGAAAGGAAAATGGACATGATGCGAGCCTCAGAGAACCAGCCACTCTCACCTTTCACTTGCCCTGCGTGCTGACACAGTTCAGCCTGAGGCACTTCACAGCAGTTTGCTAATGGCCCATCAATTAGAAACAGGAGAGCTCTCAGCTCCCTCCTTCTCTCCCTTTTCACTTACTGTCGATTGGCATAAATCTGTGCTTTGTTCATGACTTTTCCTTTTCCTTGTTCTTCCCTTGGGATTGGAAAACAGAAGTGATGTGAACCTCAGAGAATCAGACACTCTCACCTTTCACTTGCCCTGACTGTGGCGTCTGCTGAAGTTGCTCAGCCCACGGAGTTCCTGAAGATGCTGAAAAGCTCATGTTCCTAAAGTGAAAGGGGGCTCTAGAGCAAGAATCCGGGGAGAAACATCATATGGAGCCCTGTCTTTCAAGTGTCTCCCTCTGACACTTGCAGCGTTGCTAAACCCTTGTGTTTGCTTTTCGGGACGCGTGAGGTGTTACTGATGTGCAGGGAAAGGATCAGTGCCTGTCAGGGGGAAGGTGAGGGGGGCCGGGTCCTTTGCAGATCGGAACCGCGGGAGCGCGGCGGGCGGAGCGGCAGCGCCCCCTGCTGGCCCCGCCCGGCCCCGCCCGCGGCGGTTCGTGCCCGGCCGCAGCCCCGGCTCCTCTGCCCGTGGCCCCAGCGCGCAGTAATACACGGCCGCGTCCCCGCGCCGGGGCCGCCCGAGACACAGCGCGCTCCCACGCCGATCTGCCGACACCCACACACGGCCCGCACTGTCCGGCAGCTCTTTGGAATCTTTCATTATGACTGCGAGGATTTCGGGTTCTCGGCCAGGGAGCTGGCGGTACCACTGGATCCAATCACTGGTCTGGATTTTGGAGTGTGAGCAGGTGATGTTGATGCCGATGCCCTCGGTGGTCTCCAGGAATGGCTCCTGGTGTACCTGAGCTCTGGCCAGAGCCACTGCCACGGAGAAAAGAACAATCACTTTTCATCGGCAGCAAATGCCATGCACGCAAAGTGGGGAGAGGGCAGAGAAGGACAGATCAGAGGTAGCTAGGATATTCTGAGAATAAAGGATGGAGAGACTGCTTCTCTGAGAGTAATTACTTGGAAATAGGAATGTGGGATATTTTGGAGAAGTGTCAGACTGCAGAAGGGGAGACTGGAATGAAGGAAAAGAGACTGGCTAAATTATATGGAAGGCTAGATGATTGAATGAAACAATGGATGATCAAAGAAATGGAGTAATAGATCCGGCAAGCTGGGAGAGAGTGGATTCATTGGGGAGAGGAGGATTGAGGGCAGAGGGTGTAAAAGAAACAAGGAGGAGCAGGAGTGACAGAGACAAATGCCGAGCCCAACGCTCATCCCAGGCACACGCAGCCACAGTCCCCTGCCTCCGCCACCTCCTCTGCCACCACCCCACTGCCTGCCTTTCCTTCGCTCCCATCATCTGTTCCCTCCCATCCTCTCTTTGCTGTCATGTGGGGACTCCCGAATTGTTCTTCAGGGCACTGGAAAGAAAGCCACACACGGGTACAGGAGCTGGGCATAAAGCCTCAGCCTTTCTCTGTGTTCACAAAACCAATGTGCTGCAGATCAGGGGAGGGCAGCAGTGCACAGGCCTGGAGACACCTCTCTGTATGTCTGTGCTACCATGTGTCCGTGTGTCTGTGTTCAGAGCAGTGGGAGAAGGAGGGGTCAGAAAGCAGAGACTGCATTTCAGTGCCTCTGCCCTGGACAAATCTCCTGCATGCTGCTACATCATTGTCCTGCTACACCCGGGCTTCTCGTGTGTCAGGGCAAATGCTGCTCTGTGATGCTCATAGCAGAGCAGTGGAGAGCGTCTCGAGTGAGATCAACACATTTCACTTATTGAGAAACAGAATAGGACGCAGACACACATGGACACATACAGACACACCCACACAGACATACACACATGCAGAGGCTTCTGCATATTGGGGGGGATTCATGCAGGATTTTGTGCTCCCACATGGATTCCTGTGGACCCTGCCTGAACACAAGTGCACACAAACCAGGAGCACAGGCAAGGACACAATCAGCCATGGATGCTGCTGAGGAAACCTGGGAACAAGTGCAGCAGGGCTGGAGCCTTGTGGGGAAAGAAAAAGAGTCACACAAGGTCCTGGCATAGTTTGTGTACTGACAGCCTGAACAGAGGGTAAGATGTCCATCGAGGCACAAAGGCTTTCCTGAAGGCAGTTTTGACATGACAGGTTCAGAACCAGCAGCCCAATGGTGACACACGGGGAGGCAAAACCCGGTGAACACCAGGTTGAGCTGAGGAGGAAGAAGGGGGGGCCTGTATGGGAATAGATTTCCATTGGGATGTGTTTTATGTGTGCAAATCTCTAGACAAGAGTGTTCACGTAGATGTGTGTTCATATACATTGGTGTAGGACCAGGAACAGGAGTGAGTGTGTCTCTTTGCACACCAGTGGGGACCTGGCAGAAGAAGTGTTGGTGACTGGGTCTCCTTCGGAAATGTGTGGGCACACACCTCTTCATCAATGCAGAGCTATTCAATATAGTTATTCTTTAGCTGTGGGCGAGCTCCTGAGTGTGTTCGTGGTACCGTGGACTCCTGCATATGCAGTAGGAGTATTTGCATTACTTTTTTTTTCTACTCAGGGTGTTGCTTTATTCCCAGAAAGGTGTCAGGGAGGGGATGGAAGTGAGGAGAAGCAATAGCAGCAGGACTGAGGGCAGGCAGGCAGGGCGTGTGCGGGCCTTTCGGTGTCGCTGGCGGTGCCGGTGCGTGCGGGCTCGGGGCAGCGGAAGGAGCTGCGGAGCCGCGCCCCGGCAGCGCCCCCTGCTGGCCCCGCCCGGCCCCGCCCGCGGCGGTTCGTGCCCGGCCGCAGCCCCGGCTCCTCTGCCCGTGGCCCCAGCGCGCAGTAATACACGGCCGCGTCCCCGCGCCGGGGCCGCCCGAGCCACAGCGCGCTCCGACGCCGATCTGCCGACACCGTCAGGCGCCCTTCAGGGGATCGCAGCTCCTTGGACGCTTTAGGAGTCATGACCAGGAGTTCGGGGCTTTTTCCCGGCACCAGTCGGTAAAAGTGGATGAAATCGCCCATCCGGATATTGGGGTGAGAGCACTTGATGCTGATGTTGGTGCCCTCTGTGGTCTCCAGGAATGGCTCTTGCTCCACTTGGGCTCTGACCGCAGCCACTGCCAGGGAGACAAATGGAACAAACCACAACTCCTACTTTCTATCCAGTTCTGCCTGCCAATCCCCAGATCAAAGCCTGCAGAAGCAGTCAGGAGCACAGAGAAATGAGGAGGAAAACAGTTACCAGGGCACCTTAGATGCAGGAATGGAAGTGTTCTTTAATCGCTTGTGGAGAGATGAATGTTTGAATGACAGAACGATTAGGAGAGTCACTGGAGAATGGGAAGATATTGGAGAAAGCAAGAAGAAAATTAGCAATGGGTAAGGACTGATTTTATGAGTTATAAAGAAAGAATGTTTCTGGAGGTTCTGGCATAGAATAGAAGTTTGGGATGGAGAAGAGGCAGGGATGAACGATAGAACAGTTCGCGGTAACCGGTCTGAGAAGAGGCCAGGCAGGACGGCAGCCTCCGGGATCACCGCATCCCCAGACCGCGGCCCCTCCCCGCCAGCCCCGCGCACCGATCAGCAGCGCGGCCAGCGCCGCGCCCCGACCCCGCCGCATGCCGCCGTGCCTCTGAGCCCCGGCTCTGTGCTCTCACTGTGCCGCCTCCTTTTCTGTCCTCCCCTCTCTCTCCATCGCGCCCAGCTCCGCCCCGGTATGAACCCTGCGCTGGCGCCGCTCGGGCTCTCACCCGGGCTGAGAGCACTCGGGCTCTGCACGGACACAGCTTGGTGTCCCGGCAAAAGGACTCTCCCCCTCCTCCAGCAAGTATATTCCAGCGAGAATCAGCCGTAACTGCTCCAGCCTGCAGCCTGAGGCAGCAACAGGGCCCTGAACCAGGAGATGGAGCAGCTTCCCCGAGCTGTGTCTGTGATCAGGGGCTGGAAACTGCAGCCAGGGGTTTTCTGCAGATGGCAGTGAGGAGGCTGAAAGCCCCATGTTCCAGCAGCTGTTCCTTGCCTAGTTTCCTGTTGCAGAGAACTTCCAGAGTCTAGTCTGTATTCCCTGTTTCCTTTGCACAGATGGTTCCAGGATTTTCTGGGAACAACTTGGGCAACAGAGGCCAGTTCACTGCCTGTTCTTGGTTGTGAAGTGTCCTCCTTCCCAGTATTCATGACATTCATGGTAACATGCAACACTAGTAGTCCTACTGCTGATCCCTGAGAGACCCCAGAGTTGTTTGCCAGCTGGGGTTTGAAGCAATGGCCACAACTCTTTGAGCCTGGTAGGCCAGAGAATTTTCCCCATACCTTATCACTCTCTTACTGTTCCCTTTTGTCACTAATATGGTCGCAGAGGAAGGGTGGCAGAGGAGGCCACTGCAGCTGTGTTCCCCCCAGTGTTGCATAAAGGGGGTGTGAAAAATGTGTATTTTATGATTGGCTTTTCACAAGTATTAAAATGAATATTGTATGTGTATGTTAGAAAGTTATGCTGTATTAATTTTCGTAAATATAGTTTTAGGTTATAACATAATGTTAAAATAGAAACTATGCTATGCAAGATATTTGTTTAAGAAAGGACTCGCACCAGATAGGAGCCACAGGACACCCAAATCTTTCAGAGAAAGGGAATTTATTTCTCCCTTATCAGTAGAAAACTAACTTCTTCCCACCTCGCTCAGACTGGAAGATGGCATAAGGATTAAGAGAAAGAAGTTGACAGTGACCAGACAGAATCCTGTGTTTGAATGGAATTTATGCATCATGTATGAGATGTATGAATATGAAACAGGTAATTGTTTTTAAGGGTTAATCCTCTGTTAACGGGGTCCTTTTTCAGGCTTGTGTTGCCCTGAAAAAGGTACCCAGATGTCCGTATGTCTTTGTTTTTATTGTCTCATATTGTCCTAACCTCAAATTTCAAATTTTATTATTTTAATTATATTACTATTTTTATAACCATTTTATTACTATTAAATTTTTAAAATTTCAAAAACAAGTGATTGGCGTTTTTCACAGGGGAGCAGTCACCTCTCTTGAGCTCCTGGCAACACCTGGTCCAATGGACCCAGGGACACTATTGGACTTCTTTGACACAAAGGAATTTGCACTTTCCCTTGTTCAATTGCATGAGTTTCCCATCAGCCTCTTTCTCCTGCTTGGTGAGGTCCCTCTGGATGCTGGCCTGTCTCTCTGATGCATAAGCCTCTCTTCCCAGTGTGGTGTTGTGTGCAAACCTGCTGAGGGTCCACTCTGTCCCATCACCCACATAAACAGGAGCCATCAAGCCCTCACCATTTAGATGCACCACCAGTCACTGGTCTCCAACTTTATTTTCTGCTGCTGATCACTGATCCCTGTGCCTGTGTCAGTTTTCATTCATCTCACTGTCTGCTCATCCAACATCAACAGCTTCTCTGTGAGGCTCCTACAGGAATCCACACAAGAGTGTCAAAGGCCTTGTTCACCTCCAGGTAGAGAGGAGCCACCATCCTTTCCTCTTCTCCTGAGCCTGTCTAATCACCACAGCACTTTGTCAAGGAGATCAGGCATCACTTCCTCTTGGTGAAGCCACCCTGATCCTCTCCTGGTGACTTTCTCATCACTGACACGCCTTGATTAGGAGAGCTTTCCAGGACTAGCTGCTCCATCACTTTCTAAGGGGCTAGGGTAAGGCTGAGAAGGCTGTGGCTCACTGGGTTCTCCTTTTTCCCTTTCTGAAGACAGAAGTGGCATTTGCTTTGCTCCAGTATCCAGTCACCATGCTCGGCTGAAGGTAACCTGGCAATGACAGCAGCCAGTTCCCTTACCACTTGTGTGTACATTCCAACAGGGCCTACATAAGTGCAGTTTGCTAAGGATTCACTGACCTGATCTCCTTCCATCAAGGGTGCATGTTCCCTGATCCTGACTTTATCCCCAGTCTACATTTGGTATTCCTTAAGGCCAGTCTTGCTAATAAGGACTGAGGCAAAGAAGGCCTTCAGCACCTCAGCTTTTTCTCTATCCTGTGTCACCAGGGCCCTCATCTCATTCAGCAGCAGTCCTACACTTTCGTTACTCTTTTGCCACCTTTGTCCTTATGGAAGCCCCTTTATCATTTGCCTTTCTTTCTGACAGCTGAATAAAACCTTCCACCTTTTCTCTCCCTTTCTGTATCCCTGCTGCATGACAGGAGAAAGCAAAGCCAGCCCCCTGAATTGTCCTGGGCTCTGTGTTTGGTCGGATACAGTCAAACTCAAGAACAAGGCCACTTCTTCGAGACAAAGCCCCTAAGATCCCAGTGGAGTGACCTAGACTGACATAATTTACTTTTAATGGACTCCTGCAGCATGTGGCGTGAGTCCTGTGCTGACGCTGATGTGTTTTGATGCAGAAATGCTTGGGCGTCTGACCTTGTAATGCAAAAGATGCCTTCATTGAGGAATGTGCCAGAAATAAAGCAGGAAGAGAAAACACAGCCATTTAAGAAGCCAAACATTAAATGAGATGCTCACAGCATTAAATGAGATGTTTTGCATTCAGGATGAATTTGTCAGAAAATGATCACCTCCAGAAGGGATACCTCTGGCAGCCTGAGTCAGTAAAGGTCCACAGTGAAAGCCAGCACAGTTCTTTGCTCTCTCATCACCTTCTCTTGTCTCCTTCTCCTTGGGAATCAAGTGAGTCTGAAACCCTTTCTCCTTCTCTGCTTTCTCTAAAAAGAGATCTCACCTCAATGGACCACTCAGCTGATTCCAGCTGTCTTCTATGATGGCTCTGTTCCATTAATCCCTCTCCTCAGCTGGACAGAGGAGAGAAAATACAAGAGGCTTCTGGGGCTAGATAAGGACAGGAAAGATCACTCATCAATTACCCTCATGGGAAAACCCAACTCACATTGGGGAAATTGATTTGATTTATTGCAATCCAGTCAGCATAGGGTAATGAGAAGTAAAACTAAAATCAAAAACCACCTTTCCCCCCACTGCTCCCTTCTTTGGCTCAGCTTCACTCCTGATTTTCTCCCCTCCAAAGGGGTAGAGATTTGGAGTTGTGTTCAGTACAACACATCTCTGTGGCTCTTTTGTCCTTAGGAAAAGGAACTCTCACACACTTCCCCTATGCCAGCATGGGGTCCCTCCCATGGGAGACAGTACCACCAAAACTTCTCCAATATGAGTTCTTCACAAGTCCTGCCTGCAAACCTGTGCTAGCACGGGCCTGCCACTCACATGGCCAGAGGTCCTGACAGGAGCCTGATTCAGCATGAACTTTTATGGGGTCACCTGGAGCATCTACCTCCCCTCTTCACTGAGACTGGTGTCTGCAGGGTTGGTTCTTTCCACATCTTCTCTAACCTCTCTTCTGGCTGCTGTTCCACAGTAGTTGTTCTCTCCCTTCTTAAACATGTTATCCCAGAGGTGCTTTCACCATCACTGATGAGCTCAGCCTTGGCCAGTGGTGGATGAGTCTTAAATCCCTCTGGTGTTGGCTCCCCCACAACCAAAACCTTGCCATGCAACCCAAGTCCAGAGGGTGCAAGGCAAACAGAGCCAGGCACTTCTCTGAGGTGCCCAGTGATGGGACCACAGGAAACAAGCACAGGCTGGAACACTGGAAGCTCTGTGTGAAACATAAGAAAGACCTTCTTATTGTTGAGAGTGACCAAGCACCGGCTCACATTGCCCAGATTATTTGAGAATTCTCCCTCCTTGGAGCTATTGGGAGGACATAAGGAGAGCCTTAGGAGCAAGAAAATGAAACCCAACAGTGCAGCCCAAATGCCTGAGATTCTGAACACAAACAAACACTGGAGCAAGTTGGGAGGCATGGAGAAGAGACATGGCATATCATTTTGCACCCATATCTTTGGGTGACCAGTCAAGGGTTGAAAAGCTGGGAGCAGCTGTCCCCCTTCCAATCAACAAGGCCACAGGCAACACCACCAGTGAGCTCCAGGCCAACCTCATTTCCCTGAACTGCACCCATCCAGTACTTGAACAGAGGATTCCACAGACACTGGATTCCTGCCCTGGAAATCCTGAGGCATCTCAATCTCAGCACTCAGAATAAGCCTCTATGAAGAAATGTCTATGACATAAGCTGGGAAATGAAAAGGTGGCAACACGGAAAACAAGCACCCAACCCATGTCATTAACTGGGATGTTTTCCATACATGATGAGCACCTTAGGAAATTATCACTTTCATAGAAGCCACCTCTGGGCCTGGGGCAACTCAGAGTGACTATAAAAGCCAGCCCAACTTCATGCTCTCTCACCCACTTCTGCCTCCTTCTCCTTGGAACGCAGGTGAGTCCGAAGCTCTTTCCCCTGTCCTTTTCTGGTGAAGCAGATGTGTGTTCCTATAGCCTGTGAGAGGTCTTAGTGCTGCTGCTGCTGAGGGGTCAGAGAAGAACTAAGGTCTGACTTAGTGTCAAGGAGCTGAGGGAGCTCTTTATTGAAGAAATAATGTGACACTTTGCAGTACTGTAGTGCTGCTGCTGCTGAGGGGTCAGAGAAGAACTAAGGTCTGACTTAGTGTCAAGGATTTGGCTGAGGGAGCTCTTTATTGAAGACATAATGTGACACTTTGCAGTACTATGTCTCAATGAGGACGAAAACCCTTTTCTCTCACTGCCCAGTTTCTGCTTTCTGGCTTAAGCAGGTACCATTGCAATTCTTGCAGTGGGATGATGGACTCACGGCTGATGGCTCCTCACATGTGCCTGTGCTCTGCTTCCTTCCCTTCCCTGTCTCTCAGGTGCATCTCCAGCCCCAAGACATGTCCTGCTACACCCCGTGCCGGCCCTGCCAGCCCTGTGGCCCCACCCCGCTGGCCAACAGCTGCAATGAGCCCTGTGTCAGGCAGTGCCAGGACTCCCACGTGGCCCTCCAGCCCTCACCTGTGGTGGTGACCCTGCCTGGCCCCATCCTCAGCTCCTTCCCACAGAACACCGTGGTGGGATCCTCCACCTCTGCTGCTGTTGGGAATATCCTCAGCTGTGATGGAGTGCCCATCAACTCTGGGGGCTTTGACCTCTCCTGCATCACCAACCGCTACAGTGGGAGCAGATGTCGTCCATGCTAAAGCCACTGGTGCAGCCCTCACAAGGACCCCCAGGAACCCAGAAGCTGATGCTGGACTGAGGACAGAGCTTCTGGCCATCAAATTCAGAGGTGCTGAGCAACCAATGCTGCCCTTCTGAAGGAGGGTCGGTGGGGCTCTCTGAAACCATGGCCAGTGTTTGCTTTCCCTGCCTTACTCTCTCTTCCCTCTCTCTTGCCTTCCATATTTCTGGACTGTAAGACTTTCAGAACCTCTCTGGGGGATCTGCTAACCCCTGCCCACCCACTGTAGGGCAGGCAGATGGATGCCCCGTTGGCTCTCCAGTGTCTGTGCCAAAGTGGGCCCAGACTTGCTGCAGTTGCATGTGGTCTCTCACCACCACCACTACCAGTAGCCTCCTCTATAAGGGAACTAATTTCCCACTTCAATGACAATAAAGCTTTTTGCATTTCATCCTCAACCTCCATGTAATCTTTTTTGGTGTCCTTGTCTCAAGTTGCTGAGACTAAAAGGTGTTGCCATGGGTGGTGGAGGAAAAGGTGGGGACACAAGTAGACCACTGATTATTCCCAGAGGAAGGGGAGGGTAGAAAACACAGAAGTGGGGCCCATTCAGGCACTGTCCCTTGGAGCTGAGGAAGACATCCCTGACTTCCCCACAGACAGCAGGGATCAGGCTCAGCCTTCCAACATTTTTGCTCAGATATGATTCCTTGGTCTTAGAGCATGTCCTGCAGATGGGGAGCACAAACCGTCTTCAGGATCAGATCTAACAGACACTGTAGACTCTTCCCACAGTCAGTGATGGGACATCAGGTTACCCATGGGACTTACCCCATCCCAAAGCAGTTGTGCCAGGAAATAGCAAGAATCATTTTCTGGAGACAAAAATCCTGCAGCTGAGCAGTGGTGTCCCTCTGAACTCCCCAGACAGGACAAGGTCACAGCAGGGCCTGCATACCTGGTCATGTGTGCATGGCTTTCTTCATTAAGTGATCACAAGTGAACCCACAGGCTCCAGCACCTCCATCCTATGGCTAAACCCCACATCCATTTCCATGGATAGGACGGATAAATAGCAGGGAGATGGCTTCATGGTCAGCAAATAGGCTCACGCTGAGAACTTTACTCCCATTAGCTGCATCTCCAGCTCAAACCAAGTACAGGTCAGTTTTCTCTCAACCACACTGAAGCCTCAGACACAGGACTTGCAGAAAATGTCTCTGTCAAGTCCAAAACCTGTGTGGTGGTTCTGGACAGTGCAGACAGACTCTCTCTGGAGGTGAATCTAACTCAAGATGTCTAAAGGATGAGAAGTTAGCGTATTTTTATGTGTCTGTGTGGTCTAAGCCAGTTTACTAGATTATCTTGAGCATTAACAGAAGAAAAATAGGTGTCTGTAAGACCTGTATTACTTGATCTGTAAGAGATCATTTTTGTAAGGGTTGAACTAAGGCTTGAGAGTGCCTGCTTCTCTCAGCTGATGATGAATGGAGCAAAGATGAGTACCTCAATAGAAGACACCTTTTTTGGAGTCAGGGGAAATCAATTTTCCTCTACTAATGTCTCATCTGATTTTGAACTTAGATCTTTACTTAGTTCTTCACTTCAGTTAAAACTGAAGACAGAGGCCTTAATTGCATTTAGAGGCTTTGAAATGAGGTAGGTGAGTCCCTTACCTTACTGTCTGCTCATGTGCCCATAGTTGCCTTGAGTTGCTTCTCACCCTGGAGCTTTCATGACCCCTTTAGTACCCAGCACCAAATGCTTGACACCAGTCTCTTGGAACATGACTATTTCAGACATCTCCATGTCAGCTAAGTTCCTGACAACGTTCTCATACCACAGCTGCAGGCAGGAGGCAAACACCCAGCCTAGCAGCCACTTAGGGAATTGCATTGCTGTTCTTTAATTGGCCTGTGTGAAGAGAGAGTACTATTCATCTCTGACAAGCCTACAAGGCCTCCCAGAGGTCAAATTCCCTGGAGCACACCAGAGGGAAAACAGAAATCAGTCTCCTAGGTGTGGCCAGCTGGAGCTTCATTGTGTTAATGAGGTGAGTGTGGGGATGTTCTTATGCTGATGATGCTGGCGACTCTCTGGTGTATGATCTCACTATATGAAGCTAAGCTGAAGAGTGTTTTCACTTTGTGTGCGTGCACACAGAGCTCCCTTTAGTGGAATTACAGTGGTGGCAGTGAGAGGGAAAAGATCAGGAGTGGAAGCTGTCAGATCCTACTGGACGGAGAGGAAACCAGGTCAGGCAGTTGCCATCAGCTTGAAGTGAGTCAGCAAGGGGAGAGCTGCTCATCCACACACCTTCACCTGAATCCAGAGTTGCCCCCAATAAATCTACCTCTTTCCAATGCTCTCTACTAGCCAAGGGGACCATGGTTACCTTGGGAGGACGGTGCATGAAAAAATGTCATTTGGATCATTTCCACTGGCAAATCTGGTGAGTGAAGCCTGCCCAAGACATGTAGCACAGACCTCTAGTGTCTTGCATGTTTAAGGGGAGCTGGTTTAAGGGAGCTTTCTTTACTCTTTAAGTACATGAGATTTCTCGTATATATTGCTGTGGAGGAAGATAGGAGAGAAAGGGATGATTCAGGTAGTGATTTAGTCAATTTGTCTTCCATATCCACCTGAAAATATGTTTTCTCTAGAGAACTGATCAAGGATTTTCCCTTGTCTGCAGGAACAGTTCAGCAGAGCTACCTTTAATGGGATTCAACTCAGAGGACTTTGCCTTCAGTTACTGAGGCTGAATATCTCTGCCCAAGTTGAGATGTCTAACATCCAGGTGCTTACTAGACTCCTGCCTTAGACCTCAGAGACAACCTGGCACTTCTAGAGAGCTTTTAGCCATGCTTTTAAGACAAAATGAGCCATGTCTCCCTCATGCTTTTTCTCTGTGAAGAAAGAAGGGGGTTAAGCTGAGGAGCTGAGATAGGAGTATTTCACCACAGATATTTCAGCTTAGTCAGCAGAAATCCTTCCTCTGACTCTGAAATGGCAAAATTGCAAAGAGGTGGATCATACCCCTAGCAGCTATGCTGAGAAGCAGATATCAGTGAGGGAAATGAAGGTATTTGCAAAAGCTTCCTGTTCTGAGGCTTAGAAGAAAGCCAGTATAGGAGACCTTGAGTGGTGACTGGCATATTAACCTGCTGCCCTGTGTGGCTGCAGCTCAGTCCCAATTCCTTGTAATAAACTGACATAGAAGAGGTTGGAAAATCTCTTGCAGTATCACATCATGAGAGTATTTGTATTCCTCAGCTGCATTTGATGATATCACACCTCAGTATTGCCTGCCTTGGAGATTACAAGTTATGCTATTGCCTTTCTACTTGTAACAGCTTTTTCTATAGCTGGAGTGCCTCAGCCTGGTGTCCATGTTTGGGATGGACAAATCCCCCATCCTAAGTGGGATTTTCATCTCACAGAAGTAACTACATGCCACATGCTGTAAAGGAGATGCACAGTCTGATAAACACTTCTCCAAGTGTTTGTTTGTTGGGGTACGTCTGATTTTCAGGGTTAGATCTAGTTGTCCAAATGTGTTTCATCAGGGGAGGATTTATATGAAAATTTTAACATAGGAAAACTGCCATTTTCCCATGCTGTGCACCAACTGCATTTTCAGGGATGGTGATTTTTTTTCCACTACTTGTAGCATCTGAAGGACCAGCACAAGCATGAAAACTTTCACAGAAACTTTTCTTTCTTTGCAGACGGACGTCAACACTTGGAAGGACATGGCAAATAGGACTACTGTAAAAGAATTCATTCTTCTTGGCTTCCCAGGGACATGGCAATTCAGAGTGTCATTTGTGGTGGTGTTTGCACTGATGTACACCGTGACAGTGATAGGTAATGCATCCATCATAGCCCTTGTGTGGAGAAGCAGCAACCTACACACCCCAATGTACTTTTTCCTCTGTAATCTCTCCTTTCTGGAGATCTGGTACACAACGGGTGTTGTTCCCAAAGCCATAGGAGTCATGCTGGGGACTAGCCAGACCATCTCCTTCAGTGTCTGCATTTTCCAGTTGTTTTTTCTTCTCTCTCTAGGCTCCACTGAGTGTTTTCTCCTGTCTGTCATGGCCTATGACCGCTACTTAGCCATATGCTGTCCCCTGAGGTACAGCTCCCTCATGAACAATGTCCTCTCTGTTCGGCTGGCACTCAGCTCCTGGCTGGGAGGCTTTTTGGCCATTTCCCTGCTGGCCTTTCTGACATCCAGGCTGACTTTCTGTGGGCCAGATGTCATCAATCATTTTCTATGTGATATAGATTCCTGCCTTGCCCTCTCCTGCAGTGATACATGGCCTGTGGAGCTGGCAACCTTCCTCGTCTCCATAATTGTTGTGGTGGCCTCCTGTGTGGTCACCTTGGTCTCCTACATGTATATCATCTCTTCCGTCCTGCGGATTCAGTCAGCCCATGGCCGGAAAAAGGCCTTTTCCACCTGCTCTGCCCATCTCAGTGTTGTCACCATCTGGTATGGCTCCACCATGTTCCTGTATGTCAAGCCATCAGCCCAGACCTCCCTGGATCTGAACAAAATCGTGAATACCTTTAACACAGTGGTAACTCCTTTGTTGAACCCCTTCATTTACACACTCAGAAACAAAGAGGTGAAGCTCGCTCTGGGACGGGCTTTCCAGAAAAAGTGAAGTAACTTTTCACAGGGCATCATTTGAACAGATTCATCCCTGCTCTCCCACGACTTCTGCCCTGCAGAAGATCCCTTCTGAAATGTAGGTCTGTGTGGACATCCCAGGCAGTGAGAAGCCACCAACTCCCCAATGAGCTCATATCACCTTACAGCCATCTCTGGCTAGGCTGAGCCTCAGTTCTTCTCTCCCACCACCCTCTGTTCATTCCAGTAATTCAGAATGCCTCCCAGTCCTTTAAAGTGCTGTGCTTGGAAAGGGTCACAAACCCTGCCCATAAATGGTTCTGTAACAGAGCTGGAGGAGTGGTACTCCCAAAGGCTTCTACCCCAGTTTGCCAAGTGCTAAATTTTGTCAGGGTTTCTCTGAATCTCCTAAAGAAATCCCAGCAACTTTAGGAAATGTTGCTTTAGGAAGTAGACATGTATTTTTACATTTAGCCTGATGTTTTGTGATGTATCTATGCCACATTCTTGTACCTATTTCCTCAAATCTGATTCAAGATAAAATATGGTAATGTCTGATATCTCTACTTATAGCCATTATTCCTGGCATAAGACTGCAAACAAAATTTGCATAATTCCTCTTCTTTCCCCTCCTTAGTATCTGAATCGACTCTCTTATTTTTAATTAAAATTATGCAAAATGGTGTGCTTCATACTAGATGTGTCAGGGCATTTCCACATCTAAAACACCACATCATTTTTACCAGTACATTGTTCCACCCATTTTGGGCTTTGTTGTGGAAAAACTTTAATGTGATTGGCAAAGCCACTCAAAGTGCAGAGCTGTGGAAGGCTGGCTGGGAAGCAAGTCTCTCTTTACACTCCTTGGGAGGATATTAGCACTTCCAAACAGCACTTGCTTTTCCCCTCCCAATTTTCATTTCAGAACAGATTAAACATGTTCTCAAAGCTTTTCTCTTTGCACACTGGAAGTAAAGATAGTGCATGTAACCACTTCATAATGAGGAGGCATCAGCTCCTCATAATGGTAAACATACCTTTATGGAGAGTGTGGGATTAATTTCACCTGAGCGTAGAGCTCTCCAATTGAGATGATTGAGTCTGAACTGAACATCTACTCCTCCCTTCTAGAAGCAATGACACTTCTGGAGGAGATTCACAAACCTCCTGCATCCACCTGGGCACTTGGCACTTAGTCCTGTGTCCAGGCCCAGGCACCATCACCCAAGGCACAGGCTGATTCCCACCCTTTGTCAGCTGTGCTCTTTTTCAGTGGCATTTGTGAAAATGCCTGGGACAGCAGAAGGAGTTTGAGACTGGAATTATCCTCAGACAGACATCACTGCTTGTCATTTCTGTCTAGGAATGATGCATTTTGGAAGGAATTGTGTATTTGGGGCATTGAAGACCTCTACAGTCCTGGAAAGCAACAAAAAGCAGGATCTGAAATGTCAAAAATATCCAAGACACAGCAGAGTGTCTGAGACCTGCTGTGAATTCCTCATCAACACTGCTTAGAGCCCTCTGAGATAAACAGTAGCATTCAAAGCCTCACACAGGGCTGCCAGAGCAGATCCTTGTCACTTGGGAGAGGCAGGCTATGCTAGAACAGCAGCAGAAAAGCAAAGGAGTACCCTGAGATTTCTTGGGCAAAGGGGATGATACTCCTTGAGCAACAGATTCCAATTCAAAGGGTGGGAGCCACCTGGAAACTCACCTTGAGCTGAGTTTCCCTAAGAAGTGCTGTAGTGGGGTTGGCTGAAAATAGGTCCCCAGACCCTTCCTTTAGCTCATGGGAGGAGAGGAGATCACTGAGATGTTACCATCTGTTAGACAGAGAAACTGGCACAGACCCAAAAACATGGGAGCTCCCTCCAGCACTGGTGAATTCCCTGAAAAGGAGAGACATGAAAAAGAGTGAGACCACTCTCTAGCAGTGGATGAGGGCAGGAAGAATCTTGTCCAGAGTCTGGCTGGAGGCTGTTTTTGACTTGCTGACACAGGGAAAGGAAGAGTCCTTCTCATCTTGGGCTTCTGTGACGACAGTGTCAAAACTGCAAGAGCAATTGTGCTTCCTACCAAAGACCTCATTCTCCAGCTGTGGCCATCAGTGGAGGCCCATAGAGATGAGACAGGAAGAAGAGCCAGTAGGCTACTTGCTCTGAGAATTGCACTGCTATTGTAAGCAGAGAACATTGACAAGGCTCGTTTTCTTGTTTATGGTGTAGCCTCCAATAGATCTGCCCCAAGTCAGGTTTCTAGGATAGTTTTTATCATCAAAATCCCTGGATCTAGAAGCAACTGTGAAAGTCACACGAGTATGTGCTTCACGGTACCATAGTATCCACTTCCAGGGATGGGGCAGCCAGAGCTTCTCTGGACAACCTCTGCCAGGGCCTCACCACCCTCAGAAGGAAAAATTTTTTCTTAGTAAGTAAAAATCTATCCTGTTTCAGTGGTAAACCATTCCCCCTTGATCTGTCACTCCATGCTCTTGTAAAAAAGTCCCTCTCTTTGTAAAAAAGAGAGAGTTCATCTCTCTTGTATCCTCTTTGGCCACTGGAATGCAATTTAAGGTATTCCCAGAACAATCGTGAGCCTAAACACATTCATCTTTCCCAGCCCCGTCTCCATAGCAGAAGGGCTGCAGCCCTCTGAGCAACTTTGTGACCTCTTCTAGACCTACTTCAGCACCTTCACATTGGGGACGCCAGAACTGGACACAGCACTCCAGCTGGGGTCTCACAAGAGCAGAGTATTGGTGAGAACCACTTCTCTATATCTGGTAGTAACTCTTCATTTGATGCAATACAATTCTGGGATACAATTCCAGGGCTGCATGTGAACATTGCAGGTCATGTCCAGCCTCTCATTCACCAGTATACCCAAGTCCTTCTTGGCTGGGCTGCTCTCAGTTTACTCATTACCCAGTCTGTGTCCATCCTTGGGAATGACCCAACCCAAATTCAGGATCTTACTCTTGGCCTTCTTGAGCTTCATGAGGATTACATGGGCTCACCTTTCTGTCCGTTAGAAGTCTAGGTTGTAGGAGCACAACACACTGTGGACTCTTCTGAGGACACCTGGGGACAACTGCAGCAGGGTTGGAGCATTGTGAGGAAGGACAAGGAGCCGGACAAGCCAATGCCATTTTCTGTACTGCACAAAGAGGGCATGAGTTAAAACAAGGCAGAATTTTCTCCTGATAGGAGAGTTAGGCACATTGGGTGAAAAACAGTAGCAGAGTCCATGGACACAGGGAGGGAAGAAGTGACCATAGGGAGAGAAAGAGAAGGATAGGACATATTCTCATGCACAGGAGTCCTTGGGCAGCCGGCTGAGGATTTCTGGAACGCAAAACAGCCCCCCAGAGTTATCCAGACTGTAATATCACTTGCCCAGCCTGGGCCTGTGCAGTATATAAACTGAGTCGTCTGCCTGCACTGCTGCATTCCTGCCTTAGAAATCCTGGGGCCTTTAATCCCAGGGATCAGAAGAATCCTTCACAGGAAAACGGGCATGGAACAAACCTGGAAATGAAAAGGCAGCAATGCAGGAAATAAAAGCACAGCCCATATCATTAGGTGTGCTGGTTTGCATTCAAGATGAGCTTGCTGGGAAATTGTTACCTCTGCAAAGTCTGCTCCTGGTCCTGTGGCAGTGAAGGGCAGGTATAAAAGGCAGCCCAAGTCTCTGCTCTCTCATCCACTTCTCTTGCTTCCTTCTGCTTGGGAACCAGGTGAGTCTGAAGCCCCTTCTCTTTCTCTGCCAAAGTGAGATCTCCTCTTGGTGGACATTTCAAATAATGTTGGCTTTCTCATATTTGGGGATTGGAGCATCTGGTCATGAGAGAGGAAAGTGGGGAGGAGGCTGGCATAGACAGAGGCTGGTGACGGTGATTCCTTTTGCTTTATACCCTGGCAGAGAACTTCCTGAGTCAGGCTGCTCTTTGTAGGGCTCCTGGCCCAGTCTCCAGCTTCCCACTCATGATGGCCTTGGCTCTTTTGTGATGGAGTAACCAGGCTGTTCCCCACCACACACCCACACAGATTTGTGCTCTGTTTCCTCTCTGCTCTCTCTACCAGGTGCATCTACAGCCTCAAGACATGTCCTGCAACACCCAGTGCCGTCCTTGCCAGCCCTGTGGCCCCACTCCGCTGGCCAACAGCTGCAATGAGCCCTGTGTCAGGCAATGCCAGGACTCCACCGTGGTCATTCAGCCACCTGCTGTGGTGGTGACCCTGCCCGGGCCCATCCTCAGCTCCTTCCCACAGAACACCGTGGTGGGATCCTCCACCTCTGCTGCTGTTGGGAACATCCTCAGCTGTGATGGAGTGCCCATCAACTCTGGGGGCTTTGACATCTCCTCCATCACCAGGCGTTACGGTGGAAGGAGAGGCCTCCCTTGCTAATGGTGCTGGCCATATATCGGTCTTGGGAAGCGTCCCCAGGATCTCCAGGCATGGTGCTGGACAAAGGAAGAATCTTCAGGTCATTTCTTTCATAGGAACTGAGCATCTTTATTTCCTCCTGAAAATGTTGGAAAGAAGGGCCCAGCTCAGGCACTTCAAAAGCCCTATGTATTTCCTACATATCTCCTTGTTTCTATTTTCATTGTGTCCTTCTGCTCCCCTCGGCTGCAAGGCTCCTCCAAGCCAGCCTGCACTCTACAGGCAAGGCAAATGGATGCCCTGCATGGACTTCACCATGGCCAAAGGTGAAGTGTCTTGCTTGTCCCTCCAGATCCTTTCAGTGAGGGCCTGTGCTTGTAACAACCTTGATTCTTTCTTTAAACTCAATAAAGTTTTTGCATCTCAGGCTGGGTCTCCAGGGTGTCCTTCCCTCCACACATGCCCTTGCAGGCTGCCAGGGCAGACTGGTGTTGATCCTGGCAGGGGATAAGGTGACAGTGTAGTGAGATCCTTCATCCAGAAAAATGTGAGGTTGGGATACACTGCAGAGGGTCTTACATAGCGTACAATCCTGGGCCAGGATGCAAAACATCCCCAGAGACCCCATGGTGATCAGCCTGTTCCCTTCAGTGTCTCTGCCCAGATATAGCCGCAACAGCTCCTGCAAAAACTCCATGTATCAACTAGAATTCCATGTGATGTCCTGGAGACAAACCCACCTGCAGGATCATGGGAATGAGGCACCTCTTGCTCTGGTCAGTGCTGTGCTGCAGTAGACAGAAAATGTTCCCAAAGGATGTCAGAAGTGTGGTTGTGTGGAATAGCCTCAGAGCTGGCCCAAGGCCTCATCTTCATCTTCACTCCACTGCCCAGCCTCAGACCGTGGCCAGCACAAATGGGCATGGGAAGCTGGGATCAGTTCCTCATTGCAGCCCTACCGCCACACGTAAGGCCTGTGGCAGGGCCGGGGTTTGGCAGGCGTGCAGGTCTGGCACCATTCACAAGTCAGTGCTGGGATTAACCACTCTGGGCCTCACACTGGAGTCCCTGTGAAGCCTCATGGGCCAGGGCAGTCCAAGGACAGTAATGGAAGCCCACAGACGCTTCACTGCTCGTGGGTACTTTGACACTCCCAACCACAGATGGAGTAGCTCTGCTCAGGTTCAGGGCCTCAAAGGCCCTGCTGTGTAATGACCAGCACTGCTCCAGAAAAGCTCTGTCAAAGTAATTTTGGACACACTCAGCAGTATCTGTGCTGTCTATGGTGGACAAGTTTTATTCACAAACGTCCTTCTTGTTTAGTCTGATGCTCTTGAGCATTGTTTTGATCAAAAGCACATCAGAGGCCTCAGTCAGGAAGGGCTGGATAAACAGAATCCATCCATCCATCCATCCGTCCGTCCATCCATCCATCCATCCATCCATCCATCCATCCACGATGGAGACTGTGTAAATTGCCCTTTCCCCATCTGGGAATCTGGAATGCAGACAGGTGTCCTTTTCTTCCAGAAAGTGAGGTTGTGAAGTCCTTTGATAGCATTGCCTCCTCTTACTTGTTTGACCAATGGTCGGTCAGGATGACAGAGGTATCAGGGCACTGAACACATCTCTCTTGGCAATCAGGTTGATGGGGACTGTGTAAGTCAAGTTCTGCAGACTGCAGTTCTAATGAATGTCTGTACCCTGTGCATACCTGTTGGAAATCCTCACTTTTTAGCCATACCTTCACTGCTCATAGATGGTGGGTAACAGGGCTGATGACAGCATGGCACAGAGTGTCCCTAGAGAAAGTTGGGCCTATTAGTGTACAACGTTCTTCCTTTCCATGATGTGGTCATGGCAGTAATCTCTGAGTTTCTGTGAAGAAGATCTGGTTTCACTATTAATGCAGACATTTAGTTGTTGGTTTTTTTTCTGTGATACTCCAAAAAATCTTTTATTTACTTCCACCCTCAGCTTAAGTGAGTGATTAAAAGGCTGGGACATCTCAGATCGTCTACAGTTCCCTGAGTACAGGGAAGAAGCTGATGTAGGCAAAGCAGCTGAAGCATGAAGTGACTAACAGGGTAAGTTTCCCTGCACATTCTTCCTGTTGGAGATTTAGGGAAGAGTCTCTGAACTCCTCCATCTTGTTGGCCAATGTTCTTGTGATGCCCAGCCTCACCTTTTCACCCACAAGACCTGCACTGCTATCACTGGGAAATTGCTATTATAGGGGCAGTCCAGCTCCTTGCTCTGCCTGGCACCCTTGGAGTCCCCCACTCCCTCTGCTCCACAGGCAGACCCAGGGCAGAAGCAGCACTCCCACCTAGGGACACTGTGACATCTGCACAGAGTGACTGCTGGGGCATCCTCCACTGGTGTCCATCTGCCCAATAACCCTGCTTATTGGCTTCCCCTGTGCAACACACAGTGTCTCTGTTCTTCCAGTTCAGTGCACAGCAATAACATGTACTGTGATTCTTTAATTCAGTACCTGTTTGGGCCAAGACCTCAGCCTGACACAGCACCAGGCGAAGATCTAGATGAATACCTTTGACATTGGTTTTGGCATGAAGGAATGCTGTGTCCCACACCTGGAAGCACCAACAATTCACTGGAAGCAGATCCATTTGGACACAGCCTGAACAAGGAGAGTAAGCAGGATTCCTTATTCTTTTTCCAGGATAAACCAAACCCCATCCTCTTGAACTCTCTAGCAGCTGTGTCCAGACCTGGTGAGGCAGGCAGAGGAGGGCTGCCCATCATGCTGAGGCACTCCCAATCCTATTACTCTCAACTACATTAAGAATCTAAATCAGTAGTCCTTGTTGGGGCTTGGCATGACCATCAATGGAGTATGAGCTCTGGAGGACCAGGACAAGCAGGGTTCAGGAAATAGATTGATTACAGAGCCTCTTTTTGGAGAAGTTTCCAGGAAGCTGATGCCATTACCTTTCAGCTGCACTTGAGCTCCTGCAGAGCTTGTGAACGGAGCTGTGGAGAGTGTCCCTTCCATGAGCAACACAATCTATTGGTGAGGAGAGACACAAAAGGACATGTGTTCATATGCACCTGTCACATATGCACCTGTGCTACATTCACATTAATCTGGTTGCACACAAGAGCACCAAAGACATGAACACATGTAGGAACACACCCTGCTGTGAACTCTGCTGAGGACACCAGGAGACAGCCGCAGCAGGGAAGGGCAAGGCCCCAGGCAAGCTCACAGCATTGTTTATGTACTCACAGACTGCTCAGAGAGCGGACAAGTCAAAACAAGCCAGAAGTTTTTCCTGAGGGCAGAGTTAGGTAGGATGGGGTCAGAGCCTGTAGCCCAATGCACATACATGGGGAGACAACAACAAATAACCATCAGGGTGAGCCGAGGAGGGAGTGATAGGGAAGGACATGGCCCATCCTCGTGCACAGGAATCCTTGGGCATCCAGAAGCAGACTGGATTTTTAAAGAGGCAATACAAAGGACCCAGGGAATCACAGACTAGTAAACCTCACCTCTCTGCCTGGGGAGATCATGGAACAGGTCCTCATGAAAGCAACTCTAAGTCATCTTCAGACAAGGAGATAATCCAAAACAGACAGCAAGGCTTCTCTTAGGGCAAGTCATGTCTGAGCAATCTGGTGGCATTCAAGGATGGAGTGACTGAAACAGTCAGGAAGGGAACACTGGCCAGGGTCATCTACCTAGACTTCTGTCAGGACTTCAACACAGTCCACACAAAATCCTTATCTCCAAATTGGAAAGATGGTATAGTGGGTTGACCCTGCTGGTTGCCAGGCACCCACCAAAGCCACTCTATCACTCTCCTCTACAAGTGGACAGGGGAGAGAAAATATAACAATGCTTCATGAGTTGAGATGAGGACTGGAAGAGACCTCTCACCAAATACTGTCAGAGGCAAAACTGACTCAACTAACGCATATTAATTGAATTTATTACCTATAAAATCAGAGGAGGATAGTGAGAAATAAAACAAGCCTTATTAAAAACACCCAAAAAAACAAACATCTTCCCTCTACCTCCCCCTTCTTCCCAGCTTTACCTCCTCCCCCCATCAGAGCAGGGAGACAGGAACAGGGCTCATGGTCATTTCATCACAGGTTGTTCCTGCTGATGCTCAAGGAGAGGAGTGGGATTCCTTCCCCTGCTCTAGGGTGGGGTCCCTCCTAGGGGGGAAGTTCTCCATAAACTTATCCAAAATGAGAAGGAGACTAGGAACCAAATCCCCCAGGCTATGGTTCCCCAAGAACTGCTACAATGTGGGTCACTCTTCCATGGGGTCAGTCCTTCAGGAACCCTCACAGGGTCCCAAGTCATGCCAGCAAACCTGCTCCAGCATGGGTTCCTGTCTTCATAGATCCCTGCCAGAACTCTGCTCCAGCACAGGCTTCCCTCAGGGTCATAGCCTCCTCTTAAGCATTCACCTGCTCTGGTGTTGGCTCCTCCAGGGGCTGCAGGTGCATCTCTGCACCCCTATGCCCTCTGTGGGCTGCAGGGGCACAGCAGCATCACCATGGTCTTCACCAGGGGCTGCAGAGGAATCTCAGCTCTGGAGCCTGGAACAGCTCCTTCTTCTCCTTCTTCTCCTTCTCCACTGGTGTCTGCAGAGCTACTTCTCTCACATATTCTCACTCTGCTTTTCTCTGGCCACAACTACACCTGTGCAATAATTTTTTTTCCTTCTTTAATGTGTTATTCCTGAGGCATCACTTCCATTTCTCATGGCTCAGCCTTGGCCAATGTTGGGTCTGTCTTGGAGCCAGCTGGCTTTGGCTCTGCTGGATACTGAGGAAGCTTCCAGCAGCTTCTCATAGAAGCCACCCCTGTAGCCCTCCTGCTACCAAAACCAGGCCATGCAAACCCAATACACATGGATTTGAAGGGCATGCTATTGTGAATATGAAAATGGCTGGATGGCCACAGACCACATGGAGGTAGGAGAAGAGGGGCATGCCTCAAGGCTCTGTCTTGGAACTGGTGCTTTTTTAGTATCTTT